GGGAGAGCTCTGATCACACCACAGCTCAGAGCTGGGAGAGCTCTGATCACACCACAGCTCAGAGCTGGGAGAGCTCTGATCACACCACAGCTCAGCTCAGAGCTGGGAGAGCTCTGATCACACCACAGCTCAGCTCAGAGCTGGGAGAGCTCTGATCACACCACAGCTCAGCTCAGAGCTGGGAGAGCTCTGATCACACCACAACTCAAAGCAACCCCAGCTGCCAGGGAAGAACTTCACCCAAAAACACCCAGTGGGAAGCAGGGAGGGTGTGACTCAACAACCCCAGGGCCCAGAGGAAAGAGGAGGGATGGGGGAGGCTCCAGAGACTGGGTGTGTCCATTCCCTGTAAGGCTGAGTCAAAGAGTGGGTGCCAAGCGAGCGGTCTTCTCTGTCCCGGGGCACGGGTGGCCCCACATGACAGCAGCCATGCTCCCCCAGGCTGGGTAGCTGCCACTGAGGCACAAGGCTCTGACTTGTAGCCTACTGGCACCCTCAAACCGTGTCTGGAGAACCCTGTCCCAGCAGGTAGTGGGGAGGGGTCCTAGGCACAAGTCCTCCCCTCTCTGCCCTGGAAGAAGCCTCCTTCAGCCCCAGCTTTTGCAGGGCTGGAGAGGTAGGGTGTGTCGCTTAATTGTGAGGCCACCCTGCTCCCCTGAGACCCCAGGCCACTGTGGGGCCCCTGCACCCAAGCCAAGGCACCACCTCTCAGAGCTGTGTACTGCTCTGCAAACCCCACATCTCCACCCCTGCCTCTTCTCCACCTTGCCCCTGCTCTGTGAGCCCCATAGCTTCACCCCTGCCTCTGCTCTGAGAGCCCCACAGCTCCACCTCAGCCCTGAGTTCTGCTCCTGATCACTCTTGGTCCTCACCTCTTGATCCCAGGCATGGTGCTGGATCTCCTAGTGCCTCAGTTTCCTACACTTAGACTCAACACTTCACTCATGTTCATGGGGGCCAGGGTCTGCTGAGGAGCCCTTGCCCTGTCTCTTAGCCATAGCAGGATATGGACCTCCAGGGACCCCAGCCCTATCTAGGGTCCTGCTGCAGTGGAGCTGTGCCCCCAGGGCTGTGGCTTGGGTGGCCAGAGCCAGGCCTGGTGCCAGAGCACCCCCAGTGGCCACTAGAACCAGTCACACAGAGCTCTGGTGGCCCGGAACCAGCTCTGGGACTTGTCTGCTCTCTCCTGAATGCTCTCTCCTGCACAGCTCCCTTCAGGTAGACTCCTCAAACCTGAGCATGAACCCTGACTCAGCTGAAGATTCCGGAGACTTCTGTGCCTATCTTCTTGGCTCCCTTCTCTTCCTCACTTGGGAGACAGTGTGCCAGTCAGAACAACCCAGGCTTGTGTGCCATGAGGTGAGAAGGGACAAACAGGCCAGAGGCCGGGGGCACACTCCCGTCCGCATCCTGGCCACTCAGGAAGCTGAGCTCCGAGAATCAGCTAAAAGGCAGCTGGGACACCACAGTCCGTAAGACTCTTGTCTCCAATTAACCACCAAAAAGCCAGACAGAGACACTAGCACGCTAGCCTTGGGCAAAAAGGTTCAGGGACAGTGCTCCAACCTGAGTTCAAGCTCCGGTGTCTGCAATAGATAGATAGATAGGAGGCAGACAGACCTGGTGTAACATGTAAAGTCAGAAAACAGAACAAAATTATTGATGATTAAAAATTGGGCCAAATATTAAAAGCAGAACTCTTCCGGAGAGAGAGACTCCAGGTCAAATGGCCAGCAGTCAGCCTTAGTCCCTTTCCATCCTTGCTAAAAAGCAGAACATCTCTCCCCCTCTCAGGTTTCCCAGGCTGGCAGCTTTGCAGTTTACCACAAACATTGCTGAAGCCACTGACAACCTTGGGGGTTCTCAGCAGCTGTTGCTGCATTAGCCAGGAGCTTACAATAAAAATCATTTCTGTAAGGGAAATTTCAGTGCACCCCTCGAGCATGGGAATGGGTTTCTAATGTTTTGAGATTTAAAATATACTATTTCTTCCCAAGGTTAAGTTTTGACTTCTGTAAGCCAAGGGTTGTTTTGACTTTGTCTAATAATGTCAATAGCATTGATAGTATCGATCATGCTGCCCAAGTCAAGATTATGTTTTGCCTATGCTCTTGTGACTCAAGGCTGTTTTGCATCTGTAACCTTGCTTGCTTGCTTTGGGAAACATCACTGATGTGAAACCCTTTCCTATAAAAATCCCCCATGAAAAGCAAATGGGGCTGTTCTCCAAAGCCCTGCGAGCTGGGGACAGACGCCATGTGGCTAATAAAAGGCTTCCAGCCAGTTTGACTGAGTGCTGGTGACTCCTTTCGCCAATTGTGGGTTTGAGTCCCACCAGCTCTGGGAGCTGGGATATAACACTGGGATCACACAAGGTACAGTTCACTGAGAACTCAGATGGAATTGTGTACGTGTGTGTGTGTGTGTGTGTGTGTGTGTGTGTGTTTGGGGGGGAGTCTGGTTGTGGGGCCTGAACTCTGGGCCTGGGCACTGTCCCTCAGCTCTTCAGCTCAAGGCTAGCGCTCTATCACTTGAGCCACAGTGCCACTTCGGCTTTTTTCTTTTTGCTTATGTGGTGCTGAGGAATCGAACCCAGGGCCTCATGCATGCAAGGCAAGCGCTCTACCACTGAGCCACCTTCCCAG